AAAAATAAATAATATAGCTTGCAATTGTTGCACAGGCTTAATCATAAATGTAGAGGTTTACAGGGAATTTTCACACAAAATTAAACAGATTTATCTTCCAAAAATTATGTGGGACCTTCATTTTAACTGTGCAATGCAGAGAAAAGTCTGCGTGGCTTTTTTCTGATGAACTGCCCAACGATATTCTCGACATTTAGCTGGAGCTTTCTGTTAACGTTGATGAGCACCAGGGCACTCGGGCGTTCTTATCAACGCTGCCGATAAAATTAAAAAGCAAACACAACAATATTCAACGTCAACAGGCGAACGGCGTTAATAAAACTCTAAATTTCAATAAACTTATATTTTCATACAGTACGGTATTTAAAAAAAGTTGCCGTCGTCAATAGGCGATTTGCCGTGGGGTCAATCGGCCCGGATGGCAATTTATGCTGTCGACGTTTTTGGCTAATTGCCAGAGCTGTATGTGACTATTTGTTTTTTCCCACAATGGAAGAATGACTCAACTCAATGTATGCAAATTCGCAATTTTTGGGTCAGATTCAGGCTTTTAGATTTAAGTTCCTCGGACCCTTCAAATTTTCAAGTCTGCAATAACCTTCCTTCTAATTGAGGTAGAATGTTCAAACTTGGTGTAGGCGTCCATTACCTTGACTAAGGTCGATGGTGAGAATTTTCTGCTTAGGTTCAGAAACGATAAGCAATTTGATTGGTCAAGACTTTGGAACATAATATCTCTGCTTTTAATTGAGGTAGAATGTTTAACCTTGATGTAGATGTTCATTAAGTGAATGTCTTGACTGTGTTCAATGATTAAGATTTCGAGCTGAAGCTAAGCAGAGCTAATCAATTTCATTGGTCGATGGTTTGGGACACGATAATCTTGATTCTATCTGATAGGGAATGATGAAACTTAGTGTATAGTTTGATTGCTCGATACTTTTGAAAAAAATAAAAATGCGATTAATTAATATGTGTCATTTATTTATTTCGGGATTTCGGCGGGAGATAGCAGCCTCACTGTGGGCTTGTTTTAACTTATAAATGTCTTAATCACATGGCACCTTCTTATTAGAGCAACCTATTAGAATTAGATACTTCTAATCGTATTTTACGGTCATCCTCTGGTAATCTCTTAATTAAAAGACCTGTTCGACTTGTGAACTATGGTGAACGATCGTTTGCCTTCCAGGATCCTTACTTGTGGAACAGTTTACCACTGAGTGTCCGTAATTCACCGTCCTTTTCAACATTTAAAACACGTCTCAAAACGCATCTTTGTATTAATATTGCTAGACTTTTTGTTCTGATAATTAATGATAGCATTATATTGTATTAATTAATATCTTTGGCAAGTTATTAGATTCACATATATGTAGTATTTACATAAATCAACTTAGTGAATAAGTGACAGGTTAACACATAAAAAGAGTTACAGAACCAAAACATAGCTGGTTGTATATGTCAATAAAATACCACGAGATTACACGTGCTTGGAAATTTGGCTAAAGTAACCAATCATAATAAGTAATTGCACAGGTTCAGTGTCACGACTAGCTTACTCTGTGCGTGATATCCATGAGTCTTATAAACGAAATCATGGTAAAGTTTTAAGACAAACTTTCATTTGATTCCGGAGAGTTTATCATCTGAGTTCCTAGATAGCAGCTTGATTCCAGAAGGTGAAAGATGTAACAGTTTCTATCAGCAGGCTCGTCAGCTAATTTGGCTAGTGTTTGTAATCTATACTATGCTTGTATCAATGTGTAAGCAGCTATGACATATAAAACGTAAAAATGAACTATTGCATTGTTATAACTACTGAGAAGAAAAACGTCTTAAGAAATAGTAAGAAGTAAATGTAAAACGTGAAGCAAAAGCAAAGACGGCTAGAGCCAAATTCTAGACGATCACAAGGCTACTAAGATATGTAGTAAGAAAAGATGCATGGGTCGTACGTAGGATGTGGAGATCGGTCTTAGGAAATAGTAAGAAGTAAATATACAACGTGGAGCTAAAGCAAAGACGGCTAGAGACAAATTCTAGACGATCACAAGGCTACTAAGATATGTAGTAAGAAAAGATGCATGGGTCGTACGTAGGATGTGGAGATCGGTTTAGCAACTCCCGCTCTCCACGTCAGACAGAAGGCCCATGGTGCTACATCTTTTTAATGAAGCATTTGAATAATTTTATTGTATTTACACCAAACGATGTTAAAATATAGCTGTGATAATTATTTTTATTTTTTGTCTTTCCTTTGTTTTACTAATTATCTAACTTTTATTTTAATAAATTTTTAATATTGTATACACATGTCTATACTATGATGTTTTAAGAATTTTAAATGTACGTGCCTTTCCTATTGTATGTTGTACCTTACCTGTATATCCTTTTTGTATTTATGTTTTTTTCTATATTCATATTTGCTTGTATATCTATATTGTAAAGCGCACTGGAGCACAGTACCGTGGAAGTGGCGCTTTATAAATCCATAATAATAATAATAATGGCGGTGGTCACGTGACAACCATACTTGAAATTGCTTTAAAATAAAACTTCCGTACGATTATGATATAGCCTTCAATAAAAACAATATTTTTTAAATTAAGCCTTTGTCAGAATGTGTATAAAATAAAAAAGCGTTGGGCTGAAGTCAACGGACGTTACGCCGAGGAGACGTTTTATGACCTTGACCCTCAAAGCAGCGGTTAACAAAACACAATGTTTAGCCGTTGAAGTGAGCGTACGGAATGAATAACAAATGTCCGCTCTACTATTTAAACCATTGAAGACACACAATAATTGGAATGAAATGAAACAATCTTTATCCCCCATTTCTGTGGAACCACAGATTATTTGTAGTCTTTGTCTATCAGGTAACTCGCCACGTAACTTGGCAAAAGTTTTTATTCATTCGTCAATTGATAGACACACGTACGGCACAATTGTCACGTGACAACCATACTTGAAATTGCTTTAAAATAAAACTTCCGTACGATTATGATATAGCCTTCAATAAAAACAATATTTTTTAAATTAAGCCTTTGTCAGAATGTGTATAAAATAAAAAAGCGTTGGGCTGAAGTCAACGGACGTTACGCCGAGGAGACGTTTTATGACCTTGACCCTCAAAGCAGCGGTTAACAAAACACAATGTTTAGCCGTTGAAGTGAGCGTACGGAATGAATAACAAATGTCCGCTCTACTATTTAAACCATTGAAGACACACAATAATTGGAATGAAATGAAACAATCTTTATCCCCCATTTCTGTGGAACCACAGATTATTTCTGAAAGTCACTGGAATACACCGCAAAACAGGTGGAATTAATAACCGGTTAAATCGCAAAACACCGGAATATACTGATCTCCTTTTTCTATCGATTTTCATTTACCAAACATAAATGTTTCTTTTTTTTCCTGAGCCAACCAATACATTTCATGGCACCATCGAATATTCCACGAAATAGTTTGAAATCCGTCCCGAAAGAGCACTAACCCTCCCCCCCCCTCCTTCCACCCACACGCTTTTTTGTCAATTGTTATTTACCAAACGCCCTCTGCTATTTCATTGAGCTACATAATAACTGACATTGAATGAACTATGTTTGGTAAATGAAAATCGAAAAAAAAGGAGATCAGTATATTGGGTTTTGCGGTTTAACCGGTAATTAATTCCACCTGTTTTGCGGTGTATTCCAGTGACTTTCAGAAATCATCTTTGGTGCCACAGAAATGGGGGATAAAGATTGTTTCATTTCATTCAAATTATTGTGTGTCTTCTAGGGCTGTGTCGATACGACAACCCGATACGCGATACGTATCGCGATATGATGACATCACGAATTATGCCCAAAATAATCTCAAACTACATTCTGTTTCAATATGTTTGAGATGGGTAAGCATCAGGGTTCTTAATCCATTTTGAAACAAACTGGCCAGAATTGAGGTCCCGTAAGATATGGGTTAATTATAAGTTTCATTTCCTTTAATATAACTAGACTTCAAGAAATATAGTTCTTGGTAATTTGTTGTGGAGAATGTCGTATTTTAATGTATGTGATTACCACAAAAATAACGACAGGTATATTTAATTCACGTACCATCTTGAAGTTCGAGTAATATTCCAGAATAAATTAATTACTGTCGTCGATGATCTAAAATATTAGCATTTTTCAACTATTGCCAGTATCAAAAAATGCCGTACGTACACAAAATAAGCTGATACGGCACCATGGCATTTCTTCATAACACAATTTGTAGTCTTTGTCTATCAGGTAACTCGCCACGTAACTTGGCAAAAGTTTTTATTCATTCGTCAATTGATAGACACACGTACGGCACAATTGTCACGTGACAACCATACTTGAAATTGCTTTAAAATAAAACTTCCGTACGATTATGATATAGCCTTCAATAAAAACAATATTTTTTAAATTAAGCCTTTGTCAGAATGTGTATAAAATAAAAAAAAATCATAACGGTAAGCGCTATTTAGAACTGGTTTATTGACCTAATTCGAAACGATATGTCACGTGTCATTGGAATTCTATCAGGAAAATATATTAATAAATGACTGTTATTCGGTGTTCTATCAGGCAATTAATTATATTCAATGAAGATTTAAATTTACCTAACAACTGGTCAGTGAATCCATCAATGTATGATCCAGTTATTATTTTAATATCTACCGGTACCTGGAATTCATACGGAGCGCGGAAGACGCTCGATTGGCAAACCATGCCGAGATCGTCTTCTTTCGCCGCGTGGGTTTCGTGGTCTTTCTTAACTGAGGAATTTTTTCAACAATACGGCTATATTACGTATCGATATAAATATCGCTGGAACGTATCGATACATATCGGTGTATCGATATAATGGTTTAAATAGTAGCGCTGACATTTGTTATTCATTCCTTACGCTCACTTCAACGGCTAAACATTGTGTTTTGTTAACCGCAGCTTTCGACGATGAGGGTCAAGGTCATAAAACGTCCGCTCAGCGTATCGTCCGCTGACTTCAGCCCAAAGCGATGAAAATAACTATCTGCTTCGTTTTGTTATGTTTGGTAGAAATTACAACACAAGATCCAGTGCCTGTTGTCATCTGGCATGGCATTGGTACAGATAATATATCAATTTACAACAATTGGATGCCTTTAGTTTCACCTGGCTAAATTATTTTTTTTTATTAAATTAATGCATGTAACATGTTAAAAGTAAACAAACCAACCAAGCGGCGCGAATGCACTTTCGTACACCTTGTACTACTTCCCGTGGACGTACAGACTTGACATTTGCTGGGGGTGGTAAGGGGGACTAGCGATGATCTCAGACCAAATCTCAGCCGAATCGACCAATAACTGACCTTTTAGGGTCTGACGAGAGATACTTTTTCATACCGACCGCCATTTTCCTTGTTGACTATTTAGACTCGAATACCAAGACACTAATATGACTTGCTGAACACCAAGCAACTTTCCTTCTAACACTGATCATATAAAATAATAATTTTCGTCATTTTATTTAGTATCTGTTCTTACGAATATAACGGGGCGCGGTAGCTAAATGACAAAGCGCTATACGATCACGGAAAGTTCTAGTACCAGGTGTACGAAAATACTTTAGCCACGCCTAATGTCGTGAAACAACTTTCGTTTATCTGCAAATATTATCAGAAACGTAAATCATGTCATATCAAGCGGCGTTTTTAACAGAACTGATAAGATCATTCTTGCGACCTATAAAGGTTATCCTGAAATGAAATGAAATGGAGTTTAACGTCCTACTGTTCTGCTCCTAACCTGGGCTAATGAAGACGGACATACGCCATACAATGTACTATGAGGGAAATTTTGCCCGGACAGCGGCACTACGGCCTACTCTTATATCGAATTCCAACTGCCAAGGGATCTTTTACGTGCACGCCAATGTGTACACGTGACCTCGGTTTTTCGTCCCATCCGAACGACTAGACAGCTTTCCTTGTCAGCCCCTCCGTCCTGCATTACTGACAAGGGAGAACCACGCCGGGAAATCTGGATAAACTTTCTCGGCCAATGCAGGGATCGAACACCCGACCTCCAGGCTAGTGAGCTAGCGTCTTACCCACATAGCCACGTGATCCCCAAAAGGTTATCCTACTTTTCGCTTATATTGATTGGCTGTTGTCACACGCCATATCTTTAGCCCCGCCTTCATGACGTAAAGACCGCCAGCTATTATTGCTTCGATTTAAAAGAGATGGTTTGTACTCGTGTCAGGTAGAATTATATGCTTAAATTGTAGTTGGATGTGACAGAAATATAATAATAAATAACAATAATGAATCGTTATTTGGAAGATAACTGTTTTGCTTATTGAAGTACTATTTGATACGCATCGTATTTCTCCTGGTGAATCTATATAGTACCATCTCTTATCTCAAAATACGCAGGGTTGAGAGATGAGGTTGCTTATCTAGGTCAACCATGATTGTCGAATTTATATAAATATTTACCTTGTTCGTGTCGCGCAGATAAGTTTCAAAAGTAATTGTGTAATATAAAATTCAAAATAAAAAAAATTTTAAAATTTCAAGACATAGATCTGGAAGATTATGAGACATCAACCAAAATAGTCTGAATTAAAATAATTATTTGTTATATAATACCATATTAATCATAACAGTTATCAAGTCCACTTTTAAAAACAATACACCATTTAAACCCCGTGAGTTTCTTTGACCCCCCCCCCCCCCCGCTAACGACCCATACACGCAAGTTAATTGTTGAAATGAAATTGATTATGAAACATCAACGAAAAAAAATCTGAATTAAAATAATTATTTGTTATATAATACCATATTAATCATAACAGTTTAAAAATAATACACCATATAAACTTCGTGGGTTTCTTTGACCCTCCCCGCCCGCTAACGACCCATACACGCAAGTTAATTATTGAAATAAAATTGATGAAATATTATAATCCACAAATGACCTGCTTTGCGTCGAGTGGATGTTAAACCCCATTTCTTTCTCATTAAATCATATGGGAATTAGTTAAGATTAGATAATGAGCTTACAGTTATCGCTGTAATAGTTACAAAATCGATAATGAAAAGAGAATATACTGAAATTGTCAGTCAAATTGCTTAACTCTGAACCGAGATATATATTTGTCGCTATAATAGTTACAAAATCGATAATGAAAAGAGAATATACTGAAATTGTTAGTCAAATTGCTTAACTCTGAACCGAGATATATATTTTAGGCTAGCCTCGATCGTCATTGCTAAGGTTGGTACGATAATAAACAAAGTATCGATTGTCCATTTCTACGTCGCCTGCTAATGGCGGCATCGAGAGTTGATTATGGTCTGGATAAGTTAGTTAATGTCTATTTAATAATTTAGGTAACATTTCAGGCCTAAAGAAAGGCCTGGAATGGGCAGCTTTAGTTCTTGTATAATGCATGTTTAAGTACACATTTCTGGGACCCATTTCACTAAAAGGGTGTAAGTATTGTACACGTATTTGTAATTTCTAGCTGTAATCGTGTTAGCTTTTGTCTCCTACTGAGCTGAGTTCCCTTCCAATGCAAAATTCTTTACAACTAATGTCAAATGAAGACTGAAATTGTGACGAAAGTTTAGTACCTGTGTAGATTTGGTAGGGTCAAATGAAGACTGAAGTTGTGACGAAAGTTTAGTACCTGTGTAGATTTGGTAGGGTTAGTAACTTGGTATGCTTTGCCAGAAAAAAATAGAACATTTGCTATTATTTGTATACAGGAGACAGTTTCTACAGTCGACTAATCGCCTTGCTTACTTATTTACAGGAGACAGTTGCTGTGGGCGAAGTATTGGATCAATCAAAAGTTTAATAGAGGAACAAGTTCAAGGAATATATGTTAAATCTCTTGAAATTGGTAATAATACTACTGAGGTAATAATACATATTTTTGAAATTTTAAGATCATTTGCCTGGTTAAAGTAGCTAAGTCTCTAACTCAATATCATCCAAAATCTTCGACATTAAAAACACGATTTATTTGTTGGTTTAAATCAACATTGATGTTGTGATCTTACCGGGAAAAGATGGCCTTCTGATATCCACTATTTAAGACAAAATAAACACTTTCAATTGGTACACGAATCATGTACCATAATACTTTTTAGCGCTATTTGTAATAAGGGACTCGCAAAACGAGGCGAGGCATATTCCACAAGTCATGTCAAACGGTGACGCTATATTCTTATCTGGAGAGCATGCCTAATAAATACTATCGGCGTATGTTGGAATAACCAGTCGCTAAAGATTGAAATTCGATTGAGAATACTGGCGTATTTCGCCGAACCTAACTGATTAGAAGTTACAGTAAAAACAGAAACGATTGAATGTAAATCAATTTATATACATTCATATTTCATTATTGTATGCGTTGCAACCCATTTGTGTCAATTTCTGGGTCCCAAATATTAGCGACTTAGCTCCTTTAACAAAAGGCACTCTGTTACAAATGATGTTGATATATTCTGTATGAGATATAAACAAATTCCTTTGTAATATGAAAAAGAAATTCTGTAGTTTAGGACCTAGTTTATATCTTTCAATAAACGTAGAATATTCAGTAAGTATATTTACTGAGAAAGAAAAAGGGTATCATTTGTCCGTACACTGAATTATACTATGCTAATACCATTAGTCTGAAAAATTTGAAATTTCTCACATAAAACAACATGTTAGATGAGAATGTTTGAGTTCACAGATTTCTTAATAGTGAAATGAAATGGGGTTTAACGCCCTACTGTTCTACTCCGAACTGGGCTAATGAAGACGGGTTTACGCCATACAGTGTGCTATGAGGGAAATTTTGCCCGGACAGCAGCATTACGGCATACTTTTATATCGAATTCCAACAGTCAAGGGATCTTTTACGTGCACGCCAATGTGTACACGGGACTTCAAGTTTTCATCCCATGTGAACGACTGGACAGCTGTCCTTGTCAGACCCTCCATCATGCATCACTGACAAGGGGGAACCACGTCGGAAAATCTGGATGAACTTTCTCAGCCAATGCAGGGATCGAACACCCGACCCCCAGGCTAGCGAGCCAGCGTCTTACCTACTTAGCCACCGTGACCCCCGATTGTTTAATAGAATCATTATTGTATTTTAGGATGTGAATAATGGATATTTAATGAACGTCAACGATCAGGTTACCATGGCTTGTAAATTAATTAGTAATGATTCTAAATTACAAAATGGTTACAACGCACTTGGGTTCTCTCAGGGCGGACAGTTTATGTAAGTTTTAATCAGTGACAGTGTTATAAATACATATTCAAATCTTCATCTGTTTCCGTTCTTTTTCATTATGTATGTTGATGGTGTTTTATGGGTTGATGATGGAAATATAGAAAAAGTTGACATTTAGAATCTTCAATTATATTAGGGAATCTCGTGGCTAAGTGGGTAAGACGCTGGCTCGCTAGCCTGGAGGTCGGGTGTTCGATCCCTGCATTGGCCGAGAAAGTTCATCCAGATTTTCCGGCGTGGTTCCCCCTTGTCAGTGATGCAGGACGGAGGGCCTGACAAGGAAAGCTGTCTAGTCCTTCGGATGAGACGAAAAAGCGAGGTCCCGTGTATACATTAGAATGCACGTAAAAGATCACTTGGCAGTTGGAATTCGATATAAGAGTAGGCGATAGTGCCGCTGCCCGGGCAAAATTTCCCTCACAGCACACTGTATGGCGTATGCCCGTCTTCATTAGCCCAGCATAGGAGAAGAACAGTAGGACGTTAAACCCCATTTCATTTCATTTTTCAATTATATAAGATTGATGAAACTATAATTACTTAAAGGGCCATTAAGGGAAATTAGATAAAGAGCTGGCTGACAGTTCTTGCTATAATAGTTAAGAATAGATAACGGGAAGAGAATATGCTGAAACCTTCAGTCAGATATTAACGATTGCAATTTAGGCCAAACCTCGATCATCATTACTAAAGTCAGTACGATAAAAAATAAATTTTCGATTATCCACTTTGACGTTAAATCATCAATCACAAAATGTATTTAAATCAAGTAAATATCGCAGGCTAGCGATGGCATCGAGGGTTGATTATTGCCTTGATAAGTTAATCAATGTCTAATTAATAATTTAAATAACATTTCAGGTCTAAAGAAAGACCTGCAATAAGCAGATTTAGCTCTTGCATAATGTGTTTAAATTTTTGTATCTTTGTTTTTTTAAAGAATGGGTTAAAATCATTTTTTATAAAAATTATATAAATGAATAATTACATTTCTTTGATTAGGCGAGCTGTGGTCCAGAGATGTCCGACACCACGCATCTTCAATTTCGTTTCTGTTGGCGGCCAGCATCAAGGTAAGAACTCTAACATTGTACTTCATAAATAGAATACTTCAAGTAGGACATGGTTTCAAATATATGTGTAATGTGTACAATCAGGTAAAAATAAAGTTCTAAATTTTGTTTTGCCCTTTATGCATGCCCCCAGGCCTCCACTCCTCATAGATCTGGATCATCAGAGTGCGAAGTCATATCCCCATCACCATTTTATGTTCATTGAACAAGATCTAATATCAACTGCATTGAAATTGATCAGCTGTAACAATACAGGTATTTAAAGGAATGTATTGCCAAATTATACACGAAGTTTACCTTGGAAGAAAAATCTGACACTATTAGCTATCATTGCCCCAAATATAGAAAGTCTATACATTGCATTTATAGTTTTTTCGTCATTATGCGATTGATTGAAGCCATTAGTTCATCGGGATTTACCGGCGTGGTTTCCCCTTGTCAGTGGTGAAGGACGGAGGGCCTGACAAGGACAGCTGTCTAGTCGTGCAGATGGGACGAAATACCGAGGCCCCATGTACGCCGCTGTCCGGGCGAAATAAATTTCCCTATACCCGTCATTATCCCAGTCGGAGCAGAACAGTAGGACGTTAAACCCCATGTCATTTCATTTCAGAAGCCCTTGGTGTCGACTTTATACTGATTAATATTTTGCCCATAACTTTTGCAACCGGGGTGGTGGGGGGGGCGAACGGTTAGCACGTGCTGTTTCATAAGGTCTGTCATTGAGTCAACTGGCGTGGTTTCGATTCCGCGGTTGTACGTGACAAAGAGTAAGGTCGCCTGTCCAACCTCGCGGGTTTTCTCCCGGTCCTCCGGTTTCCTCCCACGACTAAAAGGAAATGAAATGAAATGAGGTTTAACGCCCTACTGTTCTGCTCCGACTGGCTAATGAGAGACGAACTAGGTCATTTCGGGACTAACATATGGTTCAGCTTTATTTCAATAATTCGCTTGCGCGTAGGGGTCTTTAGCAGTAGGAGGAAACCGGAGTACCCGGAGAAAACCCACGAGGTTGGACAGGCGACCCTACTCCTTTTCACGTACAACCGGGTAATCGAAACCACGCCAGTTGACTCAATGGGTCTTTAACGTGTAAGCCAATGTGAACACGGGACCTCGTTTTTTCGTCCCATCCGAATGACTATGCGTTTTCCTTTGCCAGGCCATCGGTCGTGCACTACTGACAAGGATACGGGATCGAATACGGGACCTCCAGGTTGGTGAGCCAATGTCTTCACCACTGAGCCACCGTGGCTCCCAAAATCCCTAAAGTTCACCAAATTAAGCAATTCCCCTTTAAACATTTCTTCAACAAATATTATTATTTGATATGCTATTTATTTTATTATCAGGTGTGTATGGTTTTCCCAAATGTCCAGGTGACAATAACACGCTATGTGATATTGTTAGAAAACTTCTCAGCTATGGTGCGTATGTAAGGTAGGTAAAGAGTCTTAAAAGAGAACAGTTGTCTTAATCAATAGTTTGATCAAATCAGATCTAATACCATTTAACATATTATGAACACAATGAGGTTTTCACGGTTCGGCCGAATCATTTACTAAATTCCAAATTCAATCAAGGTATCATAGCAACTAAACAGTTGTAGGAGTGACGATTTCCGTTTTTTTTTGTTTTATTTCAACAAAACGTTATGTTATAATGGGTTTTGCTTTTTATTTCCAGCTTTGTACAAGATCAGTAAGTTAATAAAACATTTATTATAATACAGTAACCTTCTTTTTAATCCCGACTACTACATTTTCTCGTGTAAATGTATCCAAAGACGACCTGATGAAATAATCTTACAGCCATCGAAGCTCTGGAAAAGTTATTATGCTTAAAAAAATTTACTGCAAGATACTGACCTTGCGGGCCTGTTCATGTTGTTGTTTATTACAAATCTAACGTCCAATACATTATGATATAATATTATGGACAGGTTTATTTAATTAAGTTATTTGCATATCAAGGTGTAATATTTAAAAAAAGAAAATGGGTAAAACATAGAGGAAAAAAAATAAGCTCTTGTATATCAAAATGTCACTTTAAAACATGGTGTTGAAAGTTCGCACACGAGAAGAGAAGGCGGGTCATCGTTTCCCTTTTCATAATAAAAACAAGTTAAAACAGGTGGTCCGACTGACTGATGTTTGGTATATTCAGTGCGGATAGACAAAAAAACGTGGGGAAAAAAATCCGCTTGCTTTATGTGGAAAAGCGAAATTCTCGCGGTAAAAATACGTAGCTGGACCCGTGGATTATTTACATATTAAAATCTGCCCGTGCGATTATTTCCAGTTCGTTAACAATTCCAAGTCTTTAAAAACAGTTCACCACTTCAACGATTTAAAATCATAGCCTGTAGTTCATTAAAAGTTTTCCTTGTTGTAGATGACTCTTCCCAGATAAATACCTGAAAAGGGAAAGAAGAGTCAGCAAGACAGATCAATTTAAACATTCAGTCGATTAAACACATACGATATAGATTTAAGACTGTCAGTAATAATAAATGGTTGTACAGGTCCCTTTTTCTTTAGTCTATATTTTCCCTAATACATTATTATGTTACATCAATAATCTTTAAACAATAATCTATTTTCTATGAAAATTAAACAAATTGAATAATGTAAATAAAAGAAACAATGATATAATAAGTCTTGTATATATCTTATTTTGATAGTTTAGTACCAGCTGAATATTGGCAGGATCCACTGAATCTAGATGAATATCGAAATAAAAGTGTTTTTCTGGCCGACATCAACCAGGAGAGAGTATGCTCTTTTTTTTTCTTTTTTAATTGATAATTTCATTTTATTAAAAAATGTTAAGGCTATTTAACTGGAAACAAGTACACAGATTCTAAGGACCAGAAACCGAGTATGACGTCATCGATGTCATATGAAAATGAAGTCTGTCTATCTATGTGCAATTGTCCAAAAAACAAGCATGCCAAGTTTCATGTCGATCGTGCTTGAATTGGCGGAACTTTAGGCTTCGGGTTTCATGTCGATTGTACTTGAATTGGTGGAAATTTGGGCTTCGGCTGTTTTCTAAAAGCTTTGCTCCCACGAAGAATATAATGAGTAGTGTTTGGGTTCAGTTCCTGTTTCAAAAACAAGCTCCAATGTCCATTTATAGATCTTGTTTGGACATATATTGGTTGGTGTACAATACTCGCTGCCCATCAGCACCCTCTCGGTCTGATATTCGGGGGATGAAACAGAGTGGATCAAGGGTTAAGGACAGAGAACATTTACACCAGGATCACCAGCATATAAAATCAGTATTTACCATAGCAAAATGTTTAGTACTATGGGGGTATATTTTCCTAATTCGGTGCTTCGGGCGTATAACTTTCTAATTTTTTAAGATGTACTTAATGTTATATTTTATATTTGTTTTCATTTTAGACCAAGAATCCTGTGTATAAAGAAAATTTACTGAAACTGAAAAATTTGGTGTTGGTTAAATTTCTTCAAGATACCACTGTTGAACCTAGAGAGAGCGAGGTGAGAAATAAAATATTTTACATCTGGTATTGAATGTAAATTATCATCATAATTGAATAACTGTAAATGTTTGATCAGTAGCATTGCTTAGAGTGCCACTGACTTCAGATCATAATGAAAGTGAAATGGATTGCACTGAACCATGGATGCTGTTGTGCCCGTATATTCCAGACATGTCCTACGTGATTTTCCAAACGTCCGACCAGGAATATGCCCAATCGAACATCATAATATTCAATATTCCGAAATATGTTGACTGCACTTAGTGTATAGCTACTTCTCATCTCAATTATCGTAGATAATATGCAGGATTGATTAAGTGATCAACCTATTTATCGTGTTATACAGTCACTTACCTTGATTAACTACTTAATCCGCCTTTATTGACTGACTTAATGCTTTGTTGGACTATTCATCAAACCAATCCCGAAAAAAGTCGTTGGTAGGACTATTTATCAATCCAATAACAGTGGTTAAAAAAACTTAATCTACATGATTACCTCGTGGTTTCCTCATTGTCGGCCATTTTAATCTGCTGATGTCAGCTGACAGCAGGAAAAAACTGGTCATATATGTCACATATCATAATAGTATATAACATCCCAAATCAATGGACAGTCATAAAAAGCTGAGTCAAGCCTATTTTATGGCTTCCTCTGGCAAGTTTCTCAGGAAACACTTGTCTGCGATATCACACTTGGTGGAAGTGGACGTAAAACTCCAGGCATGAACGAATGGGCAGTCATTATAACATTCAAAATGTTTCGATCCTTATCTACTGCCAAGTTCTCCGCTAAGTATGAACGTGGCGATGCTGACACCCTACCCCTCCATCACCCCGTGTCCGCTGGTTCTACTTCAATTTGCGATGTGAGCATGCTATTGTCCATGACAAATTTAATGTGTTTGACCGATAGGTTATACTTGTCTTGAGTTTCTGAATAGCATACGTTTTTATATGCAACTTATTTTCAGTGGTTTGGATTCTATGAACCAGGTCAAGCTAAGAAACTGTTAACTGTATTTGAAACACCTTTATATCAACAGGTGGGTTGTTTGATCACATCGTAATTTTTTTAAAACTTTTAAACCTGGGCCCTCTTTCACGAAATTTTAACTAAAGATACAATTCAGATTTTAGTAGATACTTCAATTTTGATTGGCTAAGCACTAAAATCAATCTAATATTATCCAATCAAATTACTAAAATTTGGATTTTATCTTAGTTAAAATTTCGTGAAACAGGCCCCTGTTTTATACCTCCACAGTGAAATGTGGGATTTATAGAATACAATATCAAAAAGAAACAACATTGTTTTATTCAATATTTAGTCATTAAAAGTAACAAACTGTTTCAGAAATACATAACTAATAGTTACCCTATCCGTCAGTTTATGTCGAGGCTATATATATTATCCAAATTTCTTTCAATTTAAACACGAATAGGCTTATTGATTTCAAATGATTTCCGATAAATATGCCCTTGATCACTTCGAAAAATAAAATCTTGTGGACGATATGGAAGTTAAAGTTATCACCTGATTGTCTGTAAATTATACACAGTATTTATGCTTATGAGACACATAATCTTTCTGATTTTCAACAATTTTGGATATCGTTGACAGAGATATGACCGTTGATTATTTGGAAAATGTTGCGGAGTCTTAAGTTAACATCAGACTGACTTCAAATTTAAAAAAAACGAATAACTTTTAAAATTTACCATCTAATAATTGGTACATGTTTTGTATAATAAATGCCTGTATTGGGAAGGACTAAAGTCCACCAAATTTTAATTATTTATGATAATTACTCAAAGGGTTGTTACTCTCGATCAGTTTTTAGTGTCTTGTTTTGTGGCAACCCTCGTTGACTGTCCAGGCAACTTAGCTGCTGTGGGCATACATACTTGTCATTGCATGACAACCGAGCTTTTACTACCATAATCCTGATCAATGAAATAATCATAATTGAAAAGTAAGTCTGATTGTTACTTAGCCTCTGTTTGTGTATTTCAGGATTGGTTGGGATTAAAGAAATTAAATGATACAGGACGGCTTCATTTCTTAAGTTCTGACACAGATCATCAGATATTCACCCACGAGTGGTTCATCAGCAACATCATTAATAAATTCTTTAAATAAATCAACAATGTTATTACTGCTTAAACTCTCACTTTAATGCTCAACAGATAATATGTGTTTCTTGTTTTTAGAACAACAAATATCTAAGTAACGCGGAACATTAGGGTTTTTTTTTGTTAGAACTACAGTGTAGTCATGTCTACAAGATTTTTGTCAAATGTATTGCTGTATGTAACAAATCATTTTACATCCACAGAATCGAGATAATTCTTATGTAAAAAAAAATATAGCGCCATGATAACTGGTCGGATGTGAAGAAAGGTTTCTGTTTTTTGGGTTTTTTTTCAAAAAAAGAAGATATAACCGTAAAGAACAATTACGTCCGTAAATACAAAGGTACACATTGATGTACCTTACTACCTTACTATGCTTATCAATGCTACTCTGGTTGAAAATATTTCATGTCAATATGACAGCGTCATTGACCTAGGCGTTTCCAAAATCATCCCCAAATCAGAATGCGCATTAAAATGTGTATTCCTGTAGTAACCCGGCACAAATACACTGTACAAACACAGTACAAACATGGCGGTGGATCCAACATAGGTAGCCGATGGTCGCGGATCTTCGATACTAATATGTTTACGAACATAAGACGATAATGTAGCAGTTTTGACAACCAAGGCTTTTGTTACATTTTTCATACGATCTTTCAGTACATCCTGACTAATGTTCCAATCACCTTGCTTGTAACATCTACAATTACAACTATCCTGTAGTGTGGCGTTAGGTGGCGCTTCAGTGACATCAGGTAGAATTGCCGTGACGTGAAAGTGGGTTGAAGTGGCGTCAGATAGAGTTGATGTAACGTGAAGCTGCGTTGAAGTAACGTCGTGATGATTTGACGAAGAAGAAAAGTCTGAGGTAGATGATGTCAAACACGACTCGAGTGTTAAATATTCAGGAACAACCATTGTTGTTACATATAAAGCTGAAGACAATTCGTGAAGTTCTGTCGACGAATGAAATATATCTGTTGATATGTCAAGAGATGTTGTGGATAAGTCATCTAAGGGTGCTGGTGTCAAATCATAATATAGCGTGTTTTCTAAAGTTGTTGACGTACTATCAGACATGGGTGTTGTTGGTGCTTCTATTAATGTGGAGCTAATATTAGATTGTATAGATGATGACGTCATACAGTAAGATGTATTTACTTGTGATGGAATCAAATCTTCACTTACTAGAAAATAGACAGGAAAATATTTTTCACCAAGTCATAGTCTGAATTTTGTTAAAACAAATAAAGCGTTAATGATTTTCTCATTTGATGGTATAAAATAAAACGTGATTATATTTTCACATGAAAGCTATTGTATTTACTATGATGGTAACCAAGGCATTGTCTATACTTCCATGGTAAGCAAGGCTCGCTCTGTAGATGATAATATTAAGCTTTGATACGTTGGCAACCTGATAGGTGTTAGAAAGATAGTAACTTCGATTTTAACGTACCAGAAAACTATTCAGTTTAAGCTGTTCGCGAATCTTCAGCTGAGCGACTACATGGTACGGAAATCCTTTATAACCTTATTCTGCATTTTTAAGCGATATATAACCATGAACCTGAACTAAGTTAATGTTCTTACCGCATGATATCTGTATCTGGATCCAATTTGGGTAATGAGTCGAAGTATAACCATATATATCATATCGTAGCGTCTGCTGACAGTACTGCTGTATATAATCGTAGTCCAGTGTCAAATTATAAACAAACTTGACTTCATCCCTAAACATAGAATCTTGATAATATGCTATCTGTAATACCATGGGTTGTAAACCAGAGCAGTTCATCAGATATACAGTCTCAAATCCATCAGCTACAAATATATTAAATATAAATACATTTGGTGTAATACTAAAGATTATGAAGTAGAACAGTTCATCGTGGAGACGATTTGTAACACGGGCGATTTAATATTCCCATACGCCAAAGAATCGACATTGGACTAGGCAAATTTAAATGTCACAACCACTAATATACATGTATATATGTTCAGGTGAATGAATGTAAAGTAAGTTTACAGACAATTCGTACTTAGTTTGTGTAATTTGCCTTGTCCACAGGTTTGTCTTATCGGTTTTGTTTTGCGTGTAAGGTGGTGTTCTCCTGCACTTATTATTAGAGTAGAGTTTTAGCCCTTTGTACTGTTGAATATTCTCGGTGTTGGGCCTTGCTCTTGTTTGTTCACTACACTTTATTTCTTAATTTTTAGCATTTTCCAAAATTGTATTTGGGTTATCGCCCTTATTATTTTTAAATTGTTAGACCTTCTCGTGCATAACGGACGTTCTCGTGTATAACTTCAACTGACATACTACATTGCTATTCAGAAGACGACCACCATCAAGACGAGTTCCATCACGTCTTTCTAATAAATCAATTTTTTTTTCATTTTCAGCAACGCCTGTATTATTTCGGCTGGCTCCCGGATCGATTCACTTGATTTGATATGTGTTGTTTATTGCTTGCAGTGTCTGTGTAGATTTGTGTTGCTTGCAATCTGATTAAAATACAGATCTATATTTCGTTTCGTTTTTTTATACTTTCGATGGCCTACACTACATGAAGATCTGACAAGTTATAGCGATAGGTCACGTCAGGGGTCAAAAGACCGACTTGTGACCCTATGACATCAGACATTTGATTTGCCAATCAGAATTGATGTTACTAGTGGATTACCCACAGTTCCGTGCAAAACACGACCAAAAGCTCGCCGTAATAGACCGTTTCATTTGCTTATCCCTGACACCATTCAGAACACGAGTTAAATAACAACTCTTCCAGATCCAAGTGTAGTAAAGACAAGTAAAACGAAATTTTGAACTATAAAAACGAAACGAAATAGGATCTCTGTTTTAACCAGATTGTGTTGCTTGTATAATGTCAGTGTCATGAGACGACTATATAACAGAAATACTTACGACAGCTTGGAATTGAACAGAATTCAAAATCATCATTCACCCCTTTTGTGTAACACCATGGTCTGCTCTGACCGCTTCCTGGATTTCGACAAAAGGAATGGTTTCGATCACCATCAGGAAAAGATAACTCCGTGAAGACTTGTCCGTAAATGTCAGATATATTCCAATTACGACATTCAAGTCCTGACTCCGTCAACGGTGTTTGACCTTTATAATCGAACCCATCAGCTAGCAGTTTACACAAGTATTCTGAAGGGAAAATGGCATATCATTTGGTGTCATTTATATTCTAATTTCTACAGTTAATTTACAATGGTTTTATCCAAATCGACAGTATTAAGAAGTAGCTCTTTCCAAAAAATTGTTCTGTGTTAAAGTAGGTAAGTCTCTAAGTCAATATCATCAAAAATATTCGACATTGAAACCACGAATTATTTGTCAATTCAAATCAACATTGGTCCCGTTATCTTACAGGGAAAAGATGGGCTTCCATGATATCCAAAATTCAAGACAAAATAAACATCTTACCATTGGTACACGAATCGTATACCATAATGCGTTTCAACGCCATTTGGAACAAGGGACCCAAAGGACGCGACTAGACATATTCCACAAGTCATGTGAAATGGTGACGCTATATTCTTATCTAGAAAGCATGCACAACAACTACCATCGGTGGAGACTGGAATAACCAGACGCCAATGATTGCCATTCAGTAGAGACTTCTGGCGTATTTCGCCGAACATAACTGATTAGAAATTACAGTAAAAACAGAAACGTTTGAATGTAAATCAGTTTATATACATTCATATTACATTATTATATGCGTTGCGACCCGTTTGTGTCAATTTCTAGATCCCAAATTTAAACAAAAAAGCCAATGCATTATTTCACGTCAACAAATGGCCAGTTTAATTTAGCTATGTATATTGACCGATGTCGTGCGCCATAAAGGTAATGTTTACTCTTTCTAGAAATTCGATAGCACTTTTCATTTGAATATTTTCATATGGGTAACTAATTTTTGTAATTATTATCTTGATTTTTTGACAATTACTAATAATTATTTAGAAAAAAGTTGGTTGTTTACATTTGATCGGTTGCAATTTTTAAATCTTATTTACAGCTTTTGTTTGTTTCGAATTACTAAAAATTATTTACATTTGATTGTTTACAATAACTAAATAGTATTTACAAGAGTTGGTTGTTCACATTTGATTGTTTCGAATTACTAAGAATTAATTAGCACATTGATTAGTTACAATTACTAAAGATTATTTACCAAAGTGGTTTTTTTTTTCAATTACTAAACATTATTTACCACATTCGGTTGTTCACAATTACTAATGATAAGTTACGAGGGTTGGTTGTTTATAATTACTAAATACCATTTACTACATGGCTTACAATTTCTGAAAATTAGTTACCACATTTGGTTGTTATCTAATGTGTTACCAGATATGGGTGTTTACAATTAGTAAAGATTATTAGCTGGAGTTGGTTTTTATAATTACGCGATATTTGTTGGAGTATGAACCGATTTCCTTCTCGATTTAACAATTAAATGGATAATCGAGACTATGATTTTTGTCGTACCGACTTTAGTAATGATGGACGAGGCTATACGGAACATTCGATCGCTTATTTCTCCGTTCATAGTGGATCAATTTGACTGGAATTTTCAGCAAATTGCCTTAACATCATCTAGTTTTAACTATTTTAGTGGGAACTGCCAACTCGTTATGTAATTTCCCATAATGAATCTTTAAATAGTTTTTATTTGCATTCAAATTTGACAACTGAAAAACAACTAAATTATTATACAAAAACATTTTAGTGGCATTTGGAAAAGATTTAATAATTCTCACAAAATTGCTACTCTGTGTACTATGTGGTAAAGAGGTAAAATGGCAATTCACGTTTGATACAAAAACCATTGAATATTTGGAATTCATCATTTAATTTTTGGTATTTGTAACATGCATATGTTAAAAGAGAGAATACTCTGGCATACGCAATATGGTATTAGGCAGCAAATACATTAGCAAAATCCCTACTGTGAGTTGTAAGTTAGGGGTCCGATTGGACCGCTTGTTCTCTTCAAGCGTTGGGCCTGATTTGCATGTAACAGAACTCTGCATGTGGGAAGCAGATGAATACCGAACTCTTCGCTACGTGTAAAAATGTATAGGAGACAAAGTCACTAAAATTCAGAAAGCAGTGCCCAGTAGTTATTACAAAACACTATAAAACATGTGCATGGGGTCCACTGAGACGTGAAGAATACTCAAAAAACCCACATGGAAATTATAATTTGAGCTCTGTACTTAAAAACTAATAACTCACCCAATGAACTGTCTTTTGCATAAAGGATTTCACCAGTAGAACTACATTCATTAACGACTGCAAAATAATCTATATCAATTTCAGTATCATCAGTTGTTGTAACACTAAATTGTCCTGTTCAATATTCATCTTCCTACAGACTAACACACAGAAAATAAGTTCTGAATGCGAAGCTACTGAAGTGCAGATCAGGGGCAGATCTAATATGAAACTAATGAAGCTTAAACTTCGGGGCCCCTAATCCCCGTGGAGCCCCAAAGTGATTTTGTCCACACAGCTTAAAATGTTTTAGGTCAACTGTAATGGCAGGACAATTACTACATGGAATATTGCCTTGTGTCTTGGTAATATACAATAGAAGAAGATAACGATGGTTACCCAGACCTCATTGTTGTTTGCAAACAGCTCCCGTAACAGGTTAATCTCCAGGGCTCCTAAATATGTAGGTATGCCACTCTCTGAGATTAAAATGGATTCAATTAAGTGTCTGTGATAATGTGTCTTCCTAGTTATTTTGAATATACTATATAGGTTTAATTATAAATATGAAAGATGAATTACCATTTGAGCAAAATTCGTTAAAATCTAAAGTTTTCGGGATAGCTACTTTTCGCCCGTTGAAAACAACTTTAACAAAATTCCCACTCATTTTGAAAATGAAAATAGAACGAAAACGGGGGGGGGGGGGGAACATTTGTTTTTCTCTCCCTCCAAAAGTCAAAGCTAAAACAAATCATGCATATCATAAACAAGTGATTGCCATTCCAGATATGCCCACATTTTACAAAAGATGGACAGAGAATAAGCTAAAAAAAAAAAGCGATTTTTCGTATAATCTGGGGTCATAATCCAGGAAGTTACGGTCCGATGTGCGTGAATATCTGCAGGAACGTAGATCTTCGGGATATTTTAATTTTCATCAAAATCAGATAAGGAGC